ATATCTACATACATGCATACACACACATACACACACACACACACACATACATACATACATCACGTACACACACCTATCATCTCCATCTGACATAAATTATTCAATTAGGAAACCCACGCCCTTCCGTATACAAGCACTTAATATGTTGATGGATGTTACGTACACAAAAATACAAATCTTCCGAAAACACACACACGCATACAACACACACATATACACACACATACATACATACTCACACACACACATACATACACACACATACATGCATACTCCTACACACACACAAACACACACGTTGTATTTACTTAAACAGAGTGCATAACACATGAAATTGTAAATTCAAGTGGATTGGCGTAACCGCAACCAAACATCCTGTCTGTCATAATTGATGATAACACACCTGCACTTTTTAAAACCATGTTCTTTCGCACATCAAATGCCATCAAATCTCTTATTTGGAATTCTTTTCATTCTCTTTATCTCATTCGTCACCTCATCATCTTTCCCATCTTTTTCTTCATCCTCACCATCATCTTTTCCATACCCTAAAAGATTGTGACCACAGCGTCCCACTGGGCATGACCTCGGGAGAAATCCAGGACTGGCAGATCAGCTCTTCATCCACCTACCCCACAGAATGGGACTCTTCCTGCCATGAAAAGTACGCACGCGTCTACCAACCGAACGGGAAGGCCTGGTGCGCCAAGTACAAGTCGTCGTCGGAGTGGCTGCTCGTCGACCTGGGAGTCGCTGCCAAAGTTGGTTTGCTGCTTTTGTTGGATAGTTGGCCAAATTATTGATTAGTTCGAGTGACGTCAGATGGTGCAGTGGTCAAGTGGAAGGCTTGCGAGTGTGAGTGAATACGTGGGAGGTCTAGCGTTTCATGTGCGTGAATGCTGCGTTTTTTCCTGGCATCTTCACGTTGCGCGCTATATTAATTTAAAATTTTCTCATCTGTTCGATTGATTATTTTTGATTAACAAAACGATATACGGGTTGATGACCGGCTGATTGGTTGGTTGCTCAACAGAATGAACGAACGAACAAGCGGCTACGTTTATTTATATTTTGTTATTTGTGCTGTTAATTTGTAACCAACCAACTAAACAGATAACGGGGGTGATGACCCAGGGTCGAGGTGACGGAAATGAGTGGGTGACGTCATTTATGGTGACGTACAGTATCGATGCATCCAGGTGGAACTACGTGGTTGATACGTACGGGAATCAGAAGGTTGGAGAACCAGAGAGAAAACATTTTTTTTATGAATCCTTGCGTCATCATCATTATCACCGTTATGTTGTCATCATTTACATCATCATACTGGTTAAATCATCATCGTGTTCATCATAATTTTGTATGCAATCGTCGCAGTTATCATCACTTTTATCGTTAACATCATTTCATTCAAATCAATCAAGTGAAATCACTTACCGCATTAATGCCTCAGTCAACATTACCATCGCTCTCGGGACAGTTTAAATTATCGTTATCACTTTCATCATTCCTTTCATCATCATTCAGTCACAACCGATATCAACTATCCGATCGACGTGTTACAGGTAATCAATCAATCAATCAATCAACAGGTATTTGAAGGCAACCGAGATTCGTATTCGACGAAGCATTCGTACTTCGACGAGCCGGTATTCGGTCGGTTCGTTAAGTTTCACGTCGTCACTTGGAACCGACATCCGAGTATGCGAGTCGAAATCATCGGATGCCAAAGTATTCATTCCATTGTTTTTAATTATCCCAATTAAAAAAATTAACTTATATTTTCTACACATTTTTTTATTAATAATATAGTCATTAATTTATTTTTGAATAATTTTTCGGGTATATTTACATTAAGCTAGACTCATCTACCTCTAAATTGAAATTCTTTATTGTCAATCGCTACATTGTTATTATTAATTTACATTTTTGGAATTTATTTCATAAACCAACGATAATAAATTTTATAATTTTATTTTTATAAGAAAAGTTTTTATGATAAATATTGAATTAATAAATGAACAAACACCTTGAAGCGTGCCGTTCGGTCGTATCAATCCCTCCATCCACACGCATATCAGCCTCCAGTGAGAAGTCTTTCAACATGAAAGGTACACACACACACGCACACACACACACATATATATAATAAAGGTATTGTATATAGAGTACACATATGTATATATAATTCAGTTATACACATCGATACATACATACATACTTTATATATACTCGTTTATCTATTCATTCATTTAGTCTTTTTCACTCATTCATTCATTCGTTCATTTATTCATTCATTAATTCATTCACTTATTCGTTCGTTCGTTCGTTTGTTCGTTCATTCATTCATTCATCATTTACTCATTTATGTTTTTTATTTACTAATTCATGCAGGGTGGTCCATAAATAGATTAACAGTTATCACTTAGTAGACTAATTTATCATTAGCCGTGGTTCGTAAAACGTAGACTATTGTATCATTGTGCAAATAACTTTACAATTAACTCTAGCCCTGACTCGTAAAACGTTTTGTTGGGCCACCCGATCTATCTTAAAAAATATCCGAATCAACAACAACATTGAAAATTATTTTCGTGGAGAAAATAAAGTTAAGCTAAATTAGTAGTCACTTTTTGTGTTTTTTATTAGCGTATTATGACTTATTTGGTGTTGGCTCAATTGTCAGTCCGTCTGTAATCTGTAATGTTCTCCTGCAATAAGGCCAATTAATTCATCGTAATGTTGGTTAATTTGTAATTCATCTTATTATCAGTTAATAGGCTATTTAACATCGTCTGGTTTGCTGTTAAGTGTATGTCTGTTGCCAGCCTTTGTGTGTGTGCGCGCGTGTATGTCTGTGTATGTTTGTGTGCATCTTGTATCTATATATGTATGTGAATGTATACGTAGATTATACAAGTTTTTATGTGTATTGGTTGGTTTGCAATTTTGATGTAACTATGTGTGTTTGTTGTGTATCTCTCTCTCTCTGGGTGTGTGTGTGTGTGTTTGTATTTGTGTATGTAGGCATACGTGCACGTGATTATCATTATAGCTATCACTTAGATGATGAAAAATTATAGCAATGCCAATCATGACCATTCGATCGCAGTTAAAATTTGGTGATGATAGTTAATGGTGGATAAAATGACGATGATAATGGTGACGAGGTTCATGGTGATGATGATGATGATGACGTTGATGATGACGGTTCTGGTGTTGGTGATGATGACGACAACGACGAAAATGATAATTGGTAACGATTATGGTGATATATGAAACAATTTTTTAATGATGATAATGATAATAGTAATAATAATAATGATGATGATGATGGTGATGATGAATGTCAGGGAGCTCATGCCGAGCAGAGGATGGCTACATCGTCACCAACAAAGCTTGGTGTCCAAAAGATAATGATGGTAGGTAGTGAGTACCTCATTATGTTATCTGTAATTAATGTGTATGTGCGTGTGTGTAAGTTGTGTGCGTATATATGTGTCTGTGTTGTGTAAATTGTGTACGTGTGTACGTGTATATGTGTGTTTGTTGTGTGTGTGTGTGTTTGTTGTGTGTATGTGTGTGTGTGTACGTGTATATATGTGTTTGTTGTGTGTGTGTGTATGTTAAAACCAAAACATGATGAGTGACACTGAACCGTCAAACATCAAGTAACAAATGGATTAACACTTTGATTTGTCGATTTGTGTGTGTGTGTGTGTACGTGTATATATGTGTTTGTTGTGTGTGTGTGTGTGTGTGTTTGTACGTGTTTTTAATAAATTATAACGTTATTAATAGTTGAATATCATCGAACCATTTATACGTTGGTGAATTTAAATTAGTTATGATATTGCAATTAAAATGATGAAAGTTGATGAAACAACTCACAACTCACACGCACACTAACTGTTTTTTTTCCAATTCACCAGCCAATCAATGGCTCCAGTTGGACATAGGACCGCCCACGATGATCACGGGACTGGTCAGCAAAGGCAGATTGGACAGCCGGAAGAAACAGTGGGTCACCAAGTACAAAATCAGTTATAGTAATGATACGGAGAAGTGGCATTTCTACAGAGACGCGCCACATCTCGATCCTAAAGTCAGTTTTATTTTAAATCATTTTGTAATTAATACAAATTATTAAAATTGCGATAAACATTAAAAATAAACAATGTTTTATTAATTTTATTTTAAAATGTTTAATGTTTTATTTTAAAAACCAAGGAATTTGGAGGAAATATGGACAAAGACATCGAGAGATACCATTACTTAAACTCTCCTTTCGTCGCCAGGTTGCATATTATTTTAACTAATTCATTCCAGCAGATTTTTTTGTTGGTAACAATGAGAAACTGCTGAGTGAAGGATGCAAAATTTATAGCATTAAATTGAAAAGTCACATTTAATCATTTATAACGAACCCTTATATAAGGGGTAAAAATAAAAAAAAACTTTACGGGCAGGTACGTACGCTTTCACCCGTTGGACTGGCAACATCATATCAGCATGAGGGCCGGTGTCATTGGCTGTCCATACAAAGGTAGACCCACATCGTTTAAAAAATAAATATATTAATTAATTAAATTATTAACTTAATTAATTAATTGTTTACTTAAAATGCTTAATTTAGATATATTTCATTTGCTAGGTTCTCATTCTTTGTTCATTAACCTGTCTCTCTGTCTCTTTAATCCTCTTTCTCTCACTCTCTCTTTTTCTCTCTTACTTTCTATTTTCCTTTCTTTTTGTTCAAACTCTTTGAACATTTTGCTAGCATGTTATTGTATTCTCTATTTAACGTGATTTTTCATGCTGTGACTATATTTCGTTGTCTCATTTATGTTTCGACAGTTTATTGATAATAATTTTATCATTAATCATTTTATTGTTAATAATTCTAACGTTAATCACTTTAATGTTAATAACTTTATTGCTAATCATCTATAATTGAATCTTAAAATCAGGTCGTTGTCCTGAAGGGTTCATGAAGGTCAATAAGTTCACGCCATGCGGTAACCTTTGTTTCAAATCATTTTTATTTTGTTTCTTCTTTTTCTTTTTTTCATATTTGCTCCTATTATTTAGCAGTAATATGCATTACCACTAATTTGTTCCTTTCTGAATGCTGCATTTTTGTCCCATCATCCCATCTCATCGTTATATCAGCCGAGAACTTGAGTTACAAGAAAGAGACCTGGATCAACAACAGGAAACAATGGAAGCGTCACGTGAGGAATGGGTGGAGTCACATGATGTCATTCAAAGCAGTCGATGGAGATGTCACACAGAACATCACAGATTGCGTCGTTCTCGACAGTTCATACGTTGACAAACCGACTCTTAAAATCGATCTTTCGAAGAAGAGGAGCATCTCCGGGATGGTTATCGTCACGTGGCAGGGTCAGGGTCAAGGTGGTGGGTGTTTGTCTTACGTCTCTATCTTTTTGCATTTTAATTTGTTTGATTTTTATCAAATTTAATTTTGAAAATGTTTATTTACGTTAATATAATGAGAGCAGGATTATTTTTACACACTGCTCCTTCATTTAAAAGCCTAACTCGGAAAGATTCACATTAAATTGTCGCAAATAAAATTGTATTTGCTTTAAATAACGCCTCTAAAATAACTTGTTCGCAATTCGATACTTTAAAAAATGGATTATTCAATTTACTTTCATTTTTTATTTTTCAACATAGACAAATACCAAGCAATGATTTCAAATCAATTTCCCACTAGAATTTTAAAATATTTGTTGCATTAAACATTCTACGCAGACTCGAAATTCAACTACAAAGACTACATATACAACTTGGAACGACTGGACGTGTACACGGATGTGGATGGGGATAGAGCGGGAGCGAAACACTGCGGCACCGTCACGAGGTTGAACGATGCCCTCTTCAAATCCACCCTCCATCTGCAGTGCGATGAATCCAGAGTCGGTAGGTTCGTGTTCATTGAGGCGGTTGGCGTGAAACAACCCTGGGTGGACAAGTTCCAAGCTGTTCTCTGTGAAGTTTCCGTTTACGAGTGAACGTTTTTTGGATGCCAGGAGATTTTTTTATATTCGTTTCGTTTAATATTATTTTTTATATATTAATATTTTTTTAATTTCAGGTAAAACGTTTCAATAGAAAACGAATAATTATATTTTTAATTTCGTTTGTGTGTAGGATTTGAAATGTTAATCATGTTACATTTGCTAATAATTCAAGAGCATTTTCATAATAACCTAGCAACAACAAAACTTCACGTATAAATTGCATTTATGGATAGCAGTGTTGACGTCGTTTTGATGTTCGTTTTTTTATGTTTATGTGTGTATAATATTCTTTTATATATCTATTTTTACTCGTGTATATACGTTAATATTTAAGTGTTTTGATATTTTTTAATGTACACCTTTTTATGTAACAGCAATTTATACGTCTTGTTGTTTCCTCAATTCACAAATTTTGGTGTACATATACAAACTAATATACGTATATATAAATATATATATATATATATATATATATATATATATATATATATATATATGCACTTTCATTCTGCATACAATTTCACCCAAACATTTGGACTCAGATCTCTAACATTTAGCTGGTGGGATGAAATATTGATAATTTATATATCGTTGGATTAGTTACTTGATTGTGTCTGTGGTTTCTGTCGAAATAAAGTTATATAAATAGTTTATTGTTTAGTGTCGTGTTGGTCTGGTTGTGACGGCAAGGACTGCAATGGGCGTCATCTCTTCAACCAGTTGTAGTGCTTATTTTGTTTCAAAATCGAAGTTTTAAAATACTTCGTCAAGTAAATTTATGTAAATAAAGTGCGTTAAAGTGAATGAATGTATTGGTAACATTTCGATAGAACGGTGAAATGGGTAAAAGCAGTAAGTACATGATTTGTTTCAATTCTTTTTACCTGTACTTGAGTATGTTTTCATCTAAGTATTTGATTCTTTGAGGTGTTACAAAAGAGTGTCTTTGGATAGAAAATTTATGGTAAAGATAAAATTTAACTAAATCTCTATATAAATTTTGAGAATAACTTTTGGCAAGTTTTTAAACACTTATATAAAATAGGCATGAAGTGGAAAATGAATTTCTTGGCTACTTTGTAATAAGACCGATGAAGTACTTTTAAAAATTTTCAATAAAAAACCTCAAGCAAACAGTGCATGCTTACCACCAATCAATCATTACCATCAATCATCAGCTTATTGTATATTTAGTTGATGTCTAACATACTTAACAGAAAAATAACTAGATGGCAATAAAAGTATTCAAAGCATAAATATATATAATATAACATAGAATATAATATAGAATGTAATATTCTATAATACATAATTCTAAGTATATGAATAAGATGAAGTATTAATTAATAATTAGTTATCAGTACATCACTACATTATGTAAACATTTCCCTCGTGCGTGTTCGCCTTTTCGTTGGCTTTCCAGATCCCGTGTTGGTAAATAATCATGGCTCAAGGATTCAAAAAGTCGAAAAATTCAAACGTAGCAAAAATTAACAAAGAAAAACATAAAAAGAAAAACCCGGGTCTAAAGAAAGGAAGTTAGTAAATTTAAAACTTTTTGCACCGAACTAACTTACTAATGGAATGGTCATTATTTTATATTTTTTATATTACTCACCATGCATACGGTTTTTGTATTGAAACTTTTTAGGTTAGGACCAGGTTAGGCCTTAGAGGTCAAGTGTGCCAATTATTTGATTTTTAGTCCTAATCTTTGATTTTTATTTTTCTTAGTCAATCATTGATAATTAATCTTTAATATTAATTTAATATTTTAATTATTAATCTTTGCTTCTTTGGGCTACTTGTGTATTCTATTTTCTCATAGAAATATGATATCTAAGATCTAGCACTTGTTACTGTAATGCTTGTTATTTTTTATTTATACAAAGGTTTTGAAATAGCTCCCAAAAAAGCCAGACATGTTGAAGAAACCAAATTAAAAAAGGTTAAGATCAATACATCACACTTATTTTGTTCTTGACTTGTGTTTATTATGTACACATTTTCTTATTATCTGGTTGTAAATTAAAATATTGCATAATGCAACAACACAACAGACGATCACAAAAATAGTGCACAACAAAGTCGAAAAAGAAATAATGATGCGAGCGACAAATATAGAAACGAAATCCTTCGCTGTCAAACCATCAAAAAATTCAAACAAAAAGTAGATTTGTGATGAAAGATGATTGATAATTTACCTCTGCATTGAAAATAATTTGTTGATCATTTTTATTTTTGTTCTACATTGTTTCCATTGAATAACAATTAAAAAAATATTCTTTATGATTGGTTCGCCTCCAGTTTTTTTATTGCTCAAGAAATAAATCAACAGAACCATGTAATTTAATTACGCAATTTAATTATTAAAATAGTAACCACTAATCTAATATAGTAAAAGTAATGAATTAAATGCACAAGAACTGAACCGAGTCTGTAGTACAATTTTTGAACACAACCCTGAAAGAAAATTTGAGGGGAAAAATGGAAGGAAATAGATAGTCAACAACAGTTTAAATTTAAAATGAAAACTTATTTCAGACGAGATGAAAGCTGACAAAAATTAAAATATATCAAATAATTTTGAATATAACGAATATACAGTAAGAACTAAAATAAAACGAACAAAATTAAATAATTTGTGAAGTCACAGAGGAATATAAAAAATGATAAGACAACTTGCATCTTTCGACCAGGCACAATTTAACGATGTAAAATTATGATTAAGTGTGTCGGTTTCGACACTCTTTAGATCTAGTATAATGTAAAGCCAACTAAATTGAATATTATAAATTGAATAAATCGCGTTGAATTACATTTATGATTTTAATTAAAGAATTAAAATTTCATATAAAAGTGAATTCAACCATAACAGCACTTGAGAGCAAGACACATTCACATCCAGTGGTCTTTAGACGCTCATGATTGTATAAAAAATAATATAAAATATGTAAAATTTGTTCATTAAATAAGAATCCATAAAACAATTACTAATGTTATAATGGAGTTATAATAAAACGTGGCCCATTCTGTCGGTAAGATAATTTTTGCAATATTGTGATGGTTGAAAGCCTGAATGAACGAATGAAGGAGTAAAACTAGTAAAAATGCCGAGAACACATCTATAAAAAATGACTTAGAGGTATTCTTAACAACAAAAATGAATAGAACCAAATTGTTTATTATGTAGAGTTAATAATAACCATCATCTTTATTATGTAGATTTTAATAAATTTGTAATGCATGCAAAAGAAAAAAATTAATATATAAAAATATGTTATATTTAAAAGCAGCGAGCTTAAAAATTACTAAACTTGTGTATAAATATAACTAAATAATCATTAATAAAATCTGTAAAAAAAAAAGATGTAAGAAAAATACATTAAAATGAAACGCTAACATTTAAATTAAAAATCCAACAAAGAGAATATTTTAATATAAAGCTATTTGAAATGGATGTTACATTTTGCTTTAAAATAAGTGAAAATTTGATAGTGATGAAGATGATGACGATAAAAAGAATGGTGATTGTGATAAAACAGACGATGTTGATAATGAAAGTAAAGATGACGACAATGAACTTAGCATAATGGTGATAAAAATTATAAAATGGAGATAAAGATGATGTAAAATGTGATAGTGATGATGATTATGATCACCAAAACTGGGTGGTTCTGCCACCAGGTGGTTGGTTAACTCGATATCCACCCAGCTTCTGACATTTCACGGGGTCGTCGGCATACGTTCCTACAGTAGTTACATTTACAGTACAGACATTTAATTTTAACAACGTACTTCAGTTCAATTATTGACATTAATATTTATTACCATTACTACAAAATTCTAAACTAAACAACCTGCCAATAACCTCGTTGATGAGATTAATTTTGAAATTTACAATATAGAATCCGCCCCGTCCGTGTTTTTTAACTACATACCAAGTTGCCCTCGTACGACATCTTTCATTTCAGACATCAATATGATCAAACCATACTGGGTATGATACCCATGCCATATCATCATCGCCATCATCCTTGCAGTTACCATATCATCATCGTCATCATTATGGTTACCATCATCATCACCTGCACACTGACCTTCGACACTGATGGATAGTGTGGTATCCTGCATGTTTCTCCCACCACTCTTCGTTGGCGGTCTACAAAAGTTGTCTGATCTTTGACCTTTGTGATGAAGATGATGATGGAAATGATGATGAAGATGATTATATAATGATACTTCCAAAGTGAGCAATCCGAACAGCGAAAACATTAGAACAAAACTAATGAATCACGCCACACCAGACATAAACAGCCGACGACCAGCATGTCTTTATCCTGATAATGATTCTCTAAATCAGCCCTGGACACCCTGTAACGAAATGAAACTATAATCAACTTAACATACCCGCGGCGTATGAGGGGGCCTTGTTCTTGCCATCATCCCCATCAACTCCACTCACTGGCCCGGCGTAGGGCTCTCTCACAACTGAATGGAATACCGTCTGCTTACATGAAAGTAATGAAATAATATGATGGAGATATGATGAGATTGTGATGTCCTAAGAGGGCTGCCTTAATGATGAAAGAACTATGACAATGATGACATCTTCAATTCATGCATACATTGGGTAAATAACAATAATAATTAAGTGATCTATTAGGATAAAATTTGCAATATATCCTTCTGCACCTTAGACAAACTCCTGCCATAGGCCACATCGGAGAACGGTTGACACCTGATGTATGCGCCATTCCTTCTTACTGGCTGTGGCTCCTCCTTTTTCATCTCAACAACCACTCCTGACTTTATGACGACGTCAATCTTTCCAGATAACTTCAATCCTTCAAAAACATTAAAATCTGATTTTGTGATTCTGTTGTCATTGTTGAATTCATGATCCTTGGAAGTGTCCATAATGATGACATCAGCATCTGACCCGACACCAATTCGACCCTGGTAAAGTTCATGTTGGGAATGAGGTCAAGTTCAAGTTCATTTTAATTAACACGATGGGGTATAATTAACGAAACAGAGAACTGAAATAATAACGTTATAATGAATCAAGAATGAGCACCTTCTTTGGGTAGAGGTTGAACAATTTGGCAGGAAAGGATGAAGTTAGTGAAGCAAAACAGCATGCATCCAGCTTACCAGATCCCTGGTTCAGAAATTTTAATTTATGTTCAGTCAATGAACTACAGCAAAAATGTTTCCTCTATATCCGCCTCGTCACACTAACCACGGTGAGGCCCCAGAGAGCCTGAACCATTTCCTGAACGGATGCCACTCCAGCAGGGATGCAACAAAAATTATCCTTCCCAGCTGCCTTCTGTTCTGTAGTGAATGATCTGTGCTCTGAACATACAGCCTGGATGCTGCTGCTGCAAAGTGTATGTAGACGCCACTATTAATTTGTCATTCATGCTGATAAATGAACGTAACAGTTAGTAAAAATATATTTACAATTTGTTAAGTAGCAACTAAAATTATGATACTCACTTGGCTAGATATCCAATCATTCGTTCACTGTTGTACTGATCATATCTGTTCGGTGGAAGAGTAAGATGATGGGCAGCAACCTTCCAATCAGCATCGAGCAATTTGGATTCTTCATTAACTAAGGAAGCAACATCCATTGAGCAAAATACGTTTTTACCTGTGACAACAAATCAACATCAAATTAAAAATTGAATAATGTGAAAAGTTTAAAACCAATAAATAACAAGAAATATGCAAATGAAAGAACCTTCGGCTCGATTCATAGCAACCAACTGGGCAGCACTTGTGTTAGTCACAGAATTGATGAACAGTGGAAGTCCAACTTGATTGGCCAATATGATGTAGTGATGGATTGACTGAAGTTCAATCTAGAACAATTCATAATATATATTTAGAAACTCTATCTTCGAACTGAATCATCAGCCAATCAACTACTAACGATATGACTGACAAAGAGTAATAAAGACATCAACATTTTTCAAGGTATATAGTGAAATGGATAACTAAAGAATTGTTTGGCAGAATGCTAAATTAATTAAACAATAAATTAAGAAACTTGAAACTAAAACTAAATTGAGAAAGACTCACATCCTCAGAGCAGGCAATCAACCAAGCTTCAGGTCCCGACATTCCTTGATGCAACAAGCTTTCACATTTCTGATTGGTGCAACATGAAATTTTATATTTAACTTAATCATTCATCAAACAACAACAACAACACACGTTTAGACGACATTTTCCCCGAGATCGGGGGTTGCCGTTTGGCTACCTATGATGAAACCGAAATACCCCTCGACGCCATCCACATCTGTCACTCGCCTCAGTATCACGCAACCCCGCTTTCACCTTGTCCTTCTCCACCTGCTCTCTCCATCCCAATCGCGGACGACCCCTTCCTATCACTCCTTCAACCTCGAACTCCAACGCTCGCCTAATCCCGACTCTTTCATCCCTTCTCAACACATGTCCTTACCACCGCAATCTTGATCTCCTTATCAATGTCACAATGTTCTCATTCAGTCCCATCATCGACATCAGCTCTGTACTACTCCTCCTATCCTTCACTTTAACCCCACACATCATCCTCACCATAGCTCTTTCAGCCCTCTGCAGTACACTTTCCTCCTCTCTCCTCAACACCCAAGTTTCACCACCATATACCATCGCTGCTCTCACACATGCTTTATATACCCTCCCTTTTATCTTCACAGACCATTTCTTTCCACACAATACCCCACCCAGTTCCCTAAATTTCATCCATCCCACACGAACTCTAGCCGTAACTGCGCTCAAACATCCTTCATCTGCGTTCAGCTTATCCCCTAAGTAAACAAAGCTTTCCACTCTTTCAATATAACTTAATCATTCATCACTAAAAATTAAACCATTAGGCCAAGTCAAACCACTAAACTAATGATGCTCTAATTAGATTTATCTGGGAAAGTACACAAAGGTACAGATCCACCTTAATATTGCTATCCACTTCCATAACTACTAGAATCGTGATATCATGTCAGTACAGCCCCAACACGACCACGAAGTAATTATAACATACTTTTGAAGTTTTGCCCCATAACACAATCTCATGGTATAATAAGATGCATACAATTCAATGCAGAAGCACACAACTTTACAAAGAATATTTTCAAATTTATTATTGACTATAACAAACACAAAATTTGTTGGCATGTTAACTCTCAGATGACATCACTCATCATTGTTATTATGTGATATGACCTGATTTAAAGAGTGTCTGTTTGAAAGTCAAATTTATAATGCATATTGGTACACTGGTCAATAATGGCCATCCAACAATCAAATAGTTAATTAATCAGCCAGTTAACTTTCTAACTAATCATTCAAGTAGCCAACCAACCAACTAATTGACCAACCAACTAACTAATCAGCCAATAAAACCAACCAACCAACCAGTTGCACAAGCTGATGATTGTATGGGTAGACATGAAGTACAGCACCAAGAGATTTCAACTTGTGAAATATTTTGATAAGTTCCTCGTCATTGTACGTGGTTCGTAGAGGTATGTAGAAGGAGGCAACTCCTGTTGTTGATGATGGTGTGATGAGGATGACATTCATCATTAACTTCATCCTAATCATCAAAACGATCTTCACAACATAATCATATACTCATCCTTCTAATCATGATCATCATTCTAGTCATCTCTATCTGCATCATCCATCATCATTACAGCCATTCTCAACTAATATCTTCCAATCATAAACCTCTCCATCATCATCCCCCTATAATCATCATCATCATCATAGAAACTCACCCTTCTCCTTAACCAGACATTCGACTTGGGCCTCGACCTCATCAGACCACCAGGAGAGTCCTACTTGAATGACACAATCACACCACAAGCTGTTCTCACATTTCTTCTGCCATTCATCAAAAACCTCCAAATATGATTGGTCCACGGATGGCTCAATGCTATTTGCTGGAGCAAATTCATTCAATTGCATTAAGAAAGAATCTACAAATTCAGGGATTTTGCATGTTTAAATGAAGTCATAGATGCTAATTTACATTCTAATCAAAATTTTAAAATTAAATGGCTGTCAGTTCTGTGAAAAAAAAGCCATTAAGAGAGCTAAGTGGCTAATAAATAAATCAGTCAATCAACGAATAATTAACCAACATTTTTAGGGAGACCTTTCTGAATTAAACAAATAAAGTCAATCAATCCACCAACCAACTAAAGTGGTCCCACCAGATATAGCAGCCTTGGTGCCAGTTTGAAAGTCATCAATGGACCTGAATGGAAGTTGTGTGGCACAATCAAAGTGAGTGCTCGAGTCAACTGCACCTGTTCAGCATAACATAACTAAGATAATTGATCTAGTAATTCAATCAAGAAAATGTAAATGAATAAATTTTTAAATTATTCAAATCAAAAAAAAAAATATGCAACAGCAATTTGTTGTAAGATAAAGATGAATTTAAAAATAAATTTCATATTTAAAGTTGTATGAATAACAAATTTATAAAGAAAAGCACAAAAACAACAAACCTGGTAGAATGAGTTTGCCAGTGGCATCTATGCAAACTGCCCCTTTTGGAGCTGCAAGGCTCTCTTCTATACACCTTTGGTTAAAAAAATTAATTAGTATGTAAATAATAACAACGTTTATTTTATCTTTTTCATATTAGTTACGAATATTACAAATTATGACACATAGCCTAGGTCAATATATGTGTATTGAGTGCATGTTCCATACATTTTTACGGGCACCGTTCTGAATTTGAACTAGGTCACAGTAAGATAAGAACAGGTGTTCCAAAATTTCACCATCTTGCCACCCAAACATTGATATATTAATTGCAAAAATCAAAAAATATCCCAGAAAGATGATTTGAAATGCCTACGTGAGGCAAAATACCTTTTAGTATAAAGTTAGCTGTTTGTCTGGTGTTTACAGATGAGTAGAAATTAAATAAGTTAATCAAAGTATGGAGTAAAAAACAGTGAAGTGGAAAGTAGATGTTGAACATGATAAGAAAACATTTTATGGGTAGGTGGATACAATAAATACAAAGATTGCACTGCAATTACATAAACAAACATGTGTGCATGAATGTGTTGTATTGCACATACAATACATACATTTTGTATATGTGTGTAGGTGTTAAACATATGCACGAAGAATACAACCGTGTATGTATGTATACATTGTATTGTATAATGTATATAAATAAGTGATGTATACTGTTGAGTGTTGTATGCATGTTTGCATACAACAATGGACCAATAAGTGCACATCTGCAGGCAATATCAGTAATGAGATAGATAGATGGACAGATGGATGAATGAAGAACAGGTAGGTAGATAGGTGATAAACAGATAAACGTTTCACAGACAGTTTCTTTAAATTAATTAAATTAAATTCACTCACACAATTGCTCCATCTTCAATTAAAACATCTGCCATGTAAGAGTAATCATCATTCACAATCCTTCCACCTTTTATCAGAAGAGTTGATTTTGCAGAATTCTGCATCATAATTTTGAATTTTAATTCAATGTTAAATTTAAAAAATTAATCAAATTTTTGATGTCAATTATTGCATTATTAATTAATTAATCAAAAATAATAGCAGAAAGCTAAATTTCGGTATTGACTTCTAGCAAAATAATAAATTAATACGTTTAAATTTAAAAATAAAAAATTCTGTAACCTCATCTGTCGAGACTGTCGACATAATAAAAAAATTTGAGCAAATTTTTAGATGACAAAATTTTTTTTAGAGAAATTCAAGTCAATTTGAAACAATCGCAAAAAATCAAACAATTAAAATTAACGCAAAAAATTTAAAAATTTTGATTTCAAATTATCAAAATTAACAAATATTGTAATTTTAGAACTTGTTTAAATTTTAAACAAGTTCTAAAAAAACAAAAGTAATGTTCCGTTTGTTGATGGTTCGACAAATCGATTATTGAAATATTTCGTTACTAAAAATTTAATTTATTCTAAAACTTACAAACGATTTACTGATAAGATTGAAAATTTAATTTAATTTTTTATAAGATGAACTGTAAAAATTTGTAAAGTGTGCAATTTATGCTAAAGTGCCCGTTCTCTCAAACATTTTTCACCGTAAACAGACGAGTACTTAACCGGTTCGCTGCTTGCATCTTTTATTAACTGCCACGTTTACTAACGTTTTAAAACCAAAACTACGGAGCTTGGTACGATTTTACATATTTTGATTCTCTTTTCATCTTCACAATGGAAATTGGAAACATTCGCAAAAATTATTAATTAAAAAATAATTAAAAAGAAAAATAATAACTTCGACTAAACATCAATAAAATTTTACACACAAGCAAGCAGACAGAACATAAAAAGAAAATAAACTCAAAAGAAACAACAGTTGTTAAGATGGAATAAGATGAGATAAGATGCATTTGAGTCTGAGAGGTCAACAGATGTTTGTGATGTAAATATCAACTTACACACACGCACACACACACACACACACACACACACACACACACACGAATACATAAGTGTACTTGTGTGTGTGTGTGTCTGTGTGTGTGTGATGGCTGATTGGCGCATTTATTTTACATTAATATATTTTTGTTTAGTATAATTATAATTAATTAAAAAGTAATTGTATTTAATTGGTGATATTTAGATGAACTAACTTTAGTCTTATTTTCTTTTTTAACATCGTCAGTTTTAGCGGAATGATTAGCTACTCCTATACCATCATCAAGATCTCCCTTACTGTTCTTCACACTGTTCTTTGTTTCATCAGCTTCTTTCATTCCAGGAGCATCATTAATTTTATCTCCATCCAATCCGTCAGCAGGGCTTTCATTTTCCACAACCGCCGTAGACAATTCATCTAATTCTCGTTGTTTTTCAAGTTCTTTGGCTTTCATGCGTTTCTCATATGGAGAAACTTCACCTTTCATGACGAATTTTTTATTGTATGTATGTACTTCAATTATGATTGAGGTTTGAAATATAGACTATCACAAAAGTTTCACTAATTAAAAATTTTTCTCTCAGAAACATTTAAACAGTAATGCGTTCACATCAACTCTGTGTATTCTGCAGCTTCAAATCTAACTTTGTCGTTTTAAAAAATATCATCAACATCGAGGTAATCGTGCAACACAACAAATCAACATGGACAACACATCAAACCAACATAGACAACACAACAAACCAATATACAAAACACAACAAACCAACATAGACAACACAACAAACAAACAAATCTAAATAAACATCAAATAACAAGCCAGCATAGACAACACAAGAAACTAACATAGACAACAGAGCACAACAAACCTATCTTGACGATCGTCTTCTCATCGAAAGCATCAGCAACATGACCGAAGAGAGAATTCTTCAGAACTCGTGGTTGAGGTTTGGCACCTCCCACTCCAAGCCAGATTGGGGTAGACATCTGTTCATTTGTTATATGCAATGGATATAACATATATGTGTTTCGGAATTTTAGATGGGTGTGTGTGTGTGTGTGTGTGCGGTATGTTTCGGGATTTTAAATGGTATTCGTCCTCTCATCGCAAGATATATTGTATTTTTGTAGTATCACTTATAACACAATTTTTTCAATGATTTTAGTTACTCGCGGTAGCATGCATCATTATGTACATACATTATCTCAAGATTGTACATACATTTGCATAATAATTAGTAATTATTTGTATCAAGATACACCAAACTACTTACTAATCGAAATATAATCCAGCAAGCAAGAAGATACAACGAGAAATTGCATTGTATGCAAACATTCAAGTGCTTATCCAGACTATTCTAGTAACCAACATACAGTTGCACGCACACACCACACGCACGCACGTACATGCACTTAACATCAATTGATTATATATGTGTGTACAAGATGTACTGTACAGTGAGTGCACTGGCGTACCATTCCATCATTCCATGAACTTGTGAACGTGTGTGTTATGAATGTACCTTCCATATTTTTAATATATCTTTATTCTTGAAAATTCATTCAAATGCAAGAATTGTTACACGCAAGAAAATACAGAAATACAGAAATATTATGGAATAAAGTGACAGAAACTAAAACGAACACACACACATACACACACATTGAAGAATAAATGAATAACAATGATATAATAATTGTTCGAAAAATTGTCAAACTTAGTTACAAACTCAACAATGCGGAAAAGGCGGTGATATTTCTTAATAACTGCGTGTACGACAGTTTGAGTTCAAAAAAAATTATATGCACATAAATACATACATACATGTATACGTACATAAATGTGTTTTTGTAAAACACATGTATATTGTTGAATATATTGTGTGAGTATGTGAATATATGCAAAAAACATACAAAAATGTGTGTGTGGTGTGTGTGTGTGTGCGTGTGTGTGTATTATCCACCAATAATTGTATAATTGTTTATTCTGGTTGCTTTTGGGTACATGACTCATCCATACATTCATCCAGAAATACTTATTGTAACGTTATACATATTTTTATATCTTTTTTAATATCTGCCCTTTCATGTCTGTGTTCTATTTAGTCTTTGTTCTTTTATGTCTATGTTTTTTCTCTCTATGTTCTTCTATGTCTATGTTTTTAGTAATGTTACTCTTTCTAAGAAATGGTGTTGAGGCCAAAAAAATTAGTGGATGGTTGGATGGATGGATGGAGGAGATAAGAGCAAATAAAAATAATTTCCATAATTAATACTAAAAAATATATAAATTATACTCTCAAATAATAATAATTGAAATGATTAAACCATGAAACAACTTTGTAATAATAAGAAGAAAAAGAAAAATGAAAGCAATAATAATAATAATAATAATAATATTAATAATAGAAACTCTTTTATTTCAACCAAAGTCGTTAAAGAGTTTCCATTATTATTATTATTATTATTATTATTATTATTATTATTATTATTATTATTATTACTATTTTTATTATTATTATTATTATTATTGAAAGCAATAATAATAATAATAATAATTTGATTTCCTCGCTGAAAACTTAGAAAGGTAAACATCTCCGTTCATATGGTAGTTGGTGATGACGAGCACGGGGTGAGGGTGATGATGATGGCTATGACGATGGTAGGTGAAAATGTAATGTTGTTATGCTTATGTCTGACGATGATGCTGCTGCTGATGATGATGATGGAGGTAATGATGATGGAGGTAATGATGATGATGACAATGATGATGATAAAGATGATGATAAAGATGAAATTGAAGGTGAAAGTGATTAAGATGTGATAGAAATAATAAAGATAATAATTATATGATGATAAGTAAGGCAAAAAACAAGATTGCATAATGTAGATGTAGTAGAAGTAAAAATGGTGCTGAAGTGACGATGATGAAGATGATAATGCGATGAAAATTATGACATTATGAGTGAGTATGATGATTTAGAGAGAAAGAAGATGAATAAATAACAAAAACTTGTATCGGTTTTTGTTGTTATTCTATGTATGTGTGAATGTATGTGTGAATGTATGTATAGACGTGTTTGTTTGTGTGTGTGCGCGCGCGTGTGTGTGTTTGTGTGTGTGTGGTGTGAATCTGCACACATGTGTGTGTGTGTGAGTATATATGTTTGTGAGTATGCGTGTGTGCGTGTTGTATATGTATGTGCGTGTATATGTAATATGCCGATGATAATTGTTTATAAGTATAAGTAGAATTATTTTATATAATTGGAGTAAGTAATACATTTCATTTTTAATGCTAAATTTTATAATAATAATAGCTATCTTTTTTTTAATAATTAAACAAAATAATGTACCAAAATCATAAAAAATGAAAAACAATACTAACATTTTTTGTGTACCTTTGTGTATCCTATGATATGATATAAATATAAGAACAAACGAACGAACGAACGAATGAACGAACGAATGATGTATTTTATATACTACACTTAATTTATTTATATGTGCACAATATCCGTGTCTGTTGAGTAGTAGTGTTTGAATGATGTTAGGTCGTTGTGTGATTCTTACCACGTGATAATTCAGCTAGTTTAAATCTGAATGAATGGATGGGTAGGATTATAATTAATTAATTAATTAACACTTCACGATGTATTTGCCAGGTATAATAAATTGGAAATAGATCTATCACTATAATATAATACTATAGCGAAATTTATAATAAGGTTACTAGTATATAAAATAATATAAGCAAGCAGACGGAGGTAGAATGTTAATATAGTTTAAACTTTAGTAGTTAGTCAGCACATAAAAAACAAATGAAAACATATATATATATATATATATACATACATACATACACACACACACACACACACACACACACACATACATACATACATACATACATACACACACACACTCAAACACACATACATACATAACATTTTCCCATATAAGTAAAACAACCTAATAAAGAACGAAGAACAACAATATATAACATTTCAGACAGAAACTTAACAACAAACACAAGGTAACAGAAACATAAAAAAAAACAGCATAACCTAACAATACAAACAACGGAACAGAACATGACGTACGTACTCCTCCTAACTAGATGCCGTCTTATACACGCTACGAATGAATGAACGAACCGTTTGAAATCTGATCTCTTTGTCACTTACTTTATATATACATGAGAACGCATACAATTGTATGCAGTACCTAATATATACATATTATACATACATATATATATATATATATATATATTATGTATAGTATAGTACGCGCATACACATATACACCTTTTATAGCCGCACAGATACCAACACACACACACACACACACACACACACACACACACACACACACACACACACACACACACACACACACACACACACACACACAGATTCATTCTCAGTGGTTTGTGCAGTCAAAAATAAGATGCACATTCATTTATGTACAAACAAACATTCATTTCACACACACACATACATTGTATGATATATTCTAGATTGTATCTTTTGTGCGCTTGTATTATATGAATGATTTTTGGTTCATTTATTTCGTCATTAATTAATTATTTATTGATAAGTTTCTAAAACCATTTTATAGTTTCCCACATGTAAGCCATTTTACCATGTTTATTTTTTTTTCACCTGGCCATCTCTATACACGAACATTTATACAAACATTTTTTTGATTGCCAAGAAGAACAAAACAATCGCAATAAACAACGCATGTGCTAATTAATCAGACTCTAATGTTTTGAAGAATAAAAAATAATTTCTGAATAAACCAATATACGAGGATGCATTTGGTGCACCAACTTATCCAAATTGAAAGTAGGTCTACACGTGGTGAATAAAACGGAGGCTCTATAACGTTTCTTCATCGTTTGTGTGCCATTTTCACAACATGTACCATGTGCGTATATACAAAACGAGCACACTCTTGATTTCGTACATAATCAAAAACCAATTCACACACAATACATGTGTGCGTTAAACATAAGAACATGCATTCACAAACTAGACACAAATACATGTATTGTATATGTAGGTAGGTACACGTAACACATACAAGTACATACATGCATACATACATACAAAAACATACGTACTACATACAACCATATTTACAGACACTGCGATGAAGAATGACCGATAGATGAATGGATGGAATTCAAAATTCACGAAAAACAATGAACAACATCACATGCGCAGGGACGTATGTATAAAATCACCACAGGATGTCTCGCCATTATCTAAATCCCACACGCACAAATACAGACACACCCACATGCACATATACAGACACATCCACATTCACACACGAAACTAAACAACGCGACATCGAGTCCACATATTTAATCAAATATTCTTTGATTACGACGCAGAACAAAATAACCGCAATACATAATTCCATAATTTTTTAATAAAACGGATGACTATCGGACTTGTAACACAGCTGTCTGAAATCGAAATTGGATAACTTACACTACAGTGTAACAGACTTAAAGAATTCCGTGCGACCTTCTGACGCATAATGCTTTAACGACGTCAAAACGAAACGAAACAAAACGAGATGAGACGGTATAGAAAATTGACAGTATTCTGGACGACGATGGCAACGATGGTTGAGTTATTGATTGCAACGATAAATCATTTTATTTGAAAAAAATAAATTAAAATCACATGTATAAATTAAAATTGAATGAACAAGTCAACAACTATTAATTACCCATATAACAAAGGGCTCGTGATAAAAAGATCTCAAAATTATTTATTCATCTGTCAATCATTCTACCACATTTATTCATCCATCCATCAATTCAGCTATCATTTATTCACTCACATTCCCATCTATCCATATTTACATTCTTTCTTCCATCTATCCATTTACTCGTCCACCAATCAATCAGTCAAGATCGGATACAAAATAATTGGATTCAAGAATGATCTCATCAAAGAAGATGAGCAGCTGGGCAAACGAAGGCCTCTCAACATCCACCTCATTCCAACACTTCACCATCACATCGTAGACCTGTTCGTCGAGAGCTCCGTGTCCAGTTGACGGTTGGGGCAGTCGATAACCCTGCAACACCTGAGTCTTTACCTCAAAGTTCGACCAGCCTGTATTCACACACACACACACACACACATCATGACAATGATGAAGATGACGATGATGACTGTGACGCATAATTTATCATTATTAAGGTGATCAACAAACTAAAAACCAACAAGACAAAACACAAACCAACAAACAAATGAAAAAACAAAACAAAACAACCACCGATCAAAAACCAACCAAGCAAGCAAGCAACCACAACCAAGCAAGCAACCAACCAACCAACCAATCACAACCAACCAACCAACTAACAAACAAACCAACAACTCAGAGACCTGAGTATGGTACCTTCCCGAGTGTAAATATCTCGTAGAGGAGTACTCCATATGACCAGACATCTGACTTAACAGTGAACAACATGAACCTCAAACCCTCAGGCGCCGTCCACTTCACTGGAAACCTCGAGACTGCAGGCAGTGTCAGTTCAGACGAAAGAAAAGGTAATTACATTGAGAAAGGGAGTAATAAAAATAACGAAAATGTATATCAGCAAAAAAGAAGATGAAAGATCCTACGTGACCTAAAAAAAGTTAGTGACCATTCATTAGATTCACTCATTAACGACATCAATTAAAATAGAGAATTACACTCTGTGGTCTGATTTTATAAGGATAAATAAATTTCTTGACCTTAGGTTCTGATATAAAAAAAACAATTAGATGAAAGATAACAGAAGCAAATGAAACATATTGGACCGTAGTTGCATATAATTCATAACGAACAAACGAACGAACGAACGAACAAACAAAAAACAAACGAACAAACATGCTCTAACCTTCACTTCCCTCATAAACGCCCTCTTCAACCTGTTTGGCCAGTCCAAAATCAGCAACTTTGACGACATTGTTTCCGGCGACAAGTACATTGGCGGCTCTGAGGTCCCTGTGTATGTATGGCGGGTTTTGAGACTCCAGGTAGGACATACCATCTGCTACCTGTGGTTGCGAGACGTGTCTACTCGTTAGTCTGTCATTGTCTCTTTGTCATTAGTCATATGTCACCTTTATCACTAAGCATCACAATCATCATCTTTCATAAAAATAACTTTCGACAATAAAATCATTGTCAACTTCAACAAAATGAAGGTCCTAAACAAATTTTAAATCGTTCAACGTCCCCAAATTATGACAAAAGCACCAAAAGTCAAACCAAATTTATAAGTTATCAACTTTAAATTAATTTTACAACTTATTAATAACATAAATTTATTTTTAATAATTATGATTTAAATAAAAACGATTGAATTTTTAAATAAAACATCCAACCGATAAAGACCGATCTAATTTTTAAAAAATGCTTCAAAATAGAATAATTTGTAATTGTTTTTGATTAACTGAGATCTAACAATGGGAACAGATCTTTTATTTTTCATTGAATGGGTAAAATCAATAATTAATTAGTTAATTAATAGAGAAATAGTCATGATTAAAATAAAATAAAATAAAATCATAATAATCATAGTTAGTCATCATTGCTCTTTATTTAAAATAAAATAAGTACAGCGATGATAAGATAGTTATGAAAATTGATTCACGCATTGCTCTGATCACAATATATCGCATATGATGATGATGGTATCACACTGCTAATTAAACTTTGGCGAAAATATTCGGTCCAGTCAATTTTAATTAAAGACAAATTGAAGGAATTGTAAAAGCCTATGGGCGATAATTCAAAAGAATTTATTAAAATAGTATAATGATTAAAATTTTTCATCAGGTTGTTTTTGAGATTGCTTGTATTTTTGTCGAGTTTGTATTGCCTGGACTTGACAAAGTTTGTTTCATAATAATAATAATAATAACAACAAACAAACAAACAAACAAACAAGGACAAAAACAATAATAATAACAACAACAAAGAATAATAACAACAATAATCCTAATCCTAAGGACCTGAGCAGCGATATCGACAAGATTGTTGAAGTTGAGTGTAGTGCGGTTGTCTTGGAGGTAGGACGTGAGTGAGCCTCCGCACATGAACTCGGTGATGATGAAGAGTGGTCGAGACTGCATGCAGATGCCCAGCAACTGCACCAATCTGATGGATGTGTGTGTGAGTGTGTGTGTCAGTTATCAAACTCCTCACTCATCAACATCTTCCTCCTCCCCCTCCTAGTCATCATCATCATCATCATCATCATCATCATCATCTTAAATGTTATCATTGGTTTTATCAGTTGTAGCAAATATGATGTTTGTACCATTTGGGAGTACATGCTTTTTATTATCTCAAATATTTTCCTTATATACCCATTACCTTTACTATGGCTAACGTCACAATCATTCTCACCATCATCTTCACCATCACCATCATCATCACCATTATTATTATTATTATTACTATTATTATTATTATTATTACTATTATTATTATTATTACTACTAACAAAACAATTACACAATCATAGCAATCAGTGAAGAATGAATGAACATGAACTCCTATAAAATGTACAGTCTAATTAGAGGATGATTGACAGGTCACGAAAACAACAAGCCCCACTAACCTCGGGTGTCTCAGGTTGTGCATAATTTCTGCTTCCTTCCTGAACTTGCCCACCTCCATTGTTGATTCCGTTTTTAAAGTTTTCACCGCAACTTCCTGCTTGCCATTAATCAATGCTGCAATAAAAAATTTAATTAATTAATTAATTAATTAATTAATTATTGGTTTTGTAAGCCATCCAACAAACTCATTTGCTCAGTAATCATCTATTCAATGGAATCAATTCACACATCCATCTACATTATCAAACCATCAGATCACACATATACACACACGTTTACATCCATTCCATCCATCCACCCATCAATCTATCCATCCATCCATCCACTAATTACTAATTAGTCATTAAAATAAATAAACAAATGTATCTGCTGACCTCTGTAGACATCTCCAAACTGTCCAGAGCCAAGATGGTCGATGAGTTGAATCTGATCCTGCTGGACTTCCAAGTCCTTCAGAGGAACGTTGAGAAGTTCTCGCGGGCAGGCACTTCTCAACGGGCACACCAGTCCTCCCTGGTTGCCTGTTTGTTTGTTTGTCGTCAGTGAAGTTGGCTTTTGTTATTTATTATGATAGATTAATTCATAAATTAAACAAAGTACTTGTTAATTAACGAAAAGCTAATGAATAAATTATGAATTTCATGAATAAATTATGAATGTCATTCAATTAAATGATTGACACGCTTGTGAATTATTAATTGAAGCGAAAAAATCCCGATGAAAAATATAAAATGGTAATTAAGAAACGTGGATAAATATAATTTATGAGCAAAGATGGAGGCTAAATGGAGGATAGATGAATAGATGGATGAACGGATGAATAGAATGAAAAATATAAAGATGAATGAAAGGATGGATGGTTTTTTTTTATTATTCTTTAAAAATCAGGATCTGACAGATGCAGAAACTGTAACAACATGCAAGGCAGTAGTATAAAATTAAACAAATAAGTGAGTAAATAAATACAAACAGTGAGGAAGAAAAATGTTAAAACATGAAAAATGAAATAAGTTAGAATAAAATAAATAATAATAATAATAATAAAAAAATAAATGAAAAGTAATTGACAATGAATATAAAATGGTTGAACAGATGAATAGATGAAGAGATGGATACTTTTGTAATAGTCGATGAGTTCGATGAGGGATGGGAACATGAGGTGCTTGCTGATGTACAACGAGCCATTTTCATGTTTTTTGATCCTGTAATGTTTTATGTAGTCATCGTATGGAGTTGTCGTTGATGAGGCAGACGTTGACAGAGTAACTTTGGGCATCTTTTCAAATAATACCGAGAGAGCATACGATTGATTGTCTGTTTGGCATGAAAAAATTCTGAAAATCACATTATCATCAATCAATAGTTAAATAGTTTGCATAAATTTAATAAGTCAGTCAGTCATTCAGTTTATAAACCTGCTGCCCTCCTAACTAGAAATGTTCCAATTTTATTTGTGGGTAACGTCAAAAGTTTGGCGGCCTCTCGACGATTTGTATTGAACCACCAACTAGACAATTTTTTTGATGCTATCATATATAGAAGCCAGTGAATTAATGAATTATCCAACTAAAAATTCAAACTGAATCATAAATTGAGACTTGAAAAAAAAATTAATTTTTATTATCTAAAAAAAAAATGACAGACTCTTGAGTTTCAACATTATGATCATCAATGACGACATAATTGCTGGGTATGAATCCTTTCAATCCATCAGACTTCATCGCATACCACCAATCGCCGTCCCTTTGCCATCATCATTATACGCACGACATTATTGAATGAAAAATTTGTTAATTTTAAAATTTAAATAAAAATGAAATGAAACAGAACAATCAAATCAGACTACAATTCTTATCTATAAATTACTTACATTTATTAAGAATAGACATTTTAATTTAAAAATTAAAATTGTAATTTACATTTAATTTAAGAAAAGATAATCTGATAATGTAGTTACTTAAAAAATTACAAGTAATTTAATCACTTCATTTACTTACTAGTTTAATTATTTTTACTTTCAATTTCATTTTAAATACTTTCTTTCTTTTTGTTTGAATTTGAATAAAAAATATATGAAAGAAAAGAAAGGAAATATAACTTACAAAATGCAACAAATAAGTGAATTAGTTAATTAATTATTAAATTAAAAACCTGTGCCCAATAACCGCCATTTTTTCTCCTTTTTTGAATGACAAATCGGCATCATGGATGGCCTGGTAGTCAAATAGTGCTCTAACTGCAACTGCTCAGAAAATTTAATTTTAAAAATTGAATATTTAGAATCATGTTGTTTTAAAATACAAAACCATAAAACAAATTAAATTGAATTTAAATTTTGTAATCAGATTTAAATGTTCCTAACTTAATTAGATTTTACGACTAAAACTAAACTATTTATTGCAAAAAAACTTTAAAATTTCAAAAAAGTTAAAAGGAGATTTAACTTAGACATTTTTTTCTTGTAAAAAATGGACCGGTGTTACACTTTTTGTCTAAAAGTGTGCGTGGATATATCCTATGAATTCTGGACATCTTCCATAAATTACTTTGTTAATTTTACAATGTATTTTTAGAATAGCTGATTAGTAAGTTAAGAAGTAGCGTTTAATCAAGTTTAATGAGAATTACAATTCAAAATAATGACTGGAATAAGAACTGGGAGTGTTTAGACACGAAAAAATTTCTATTAAACTTTTGAAACGGTATTATATGATAGGTAAAACGTTTCACAATCACAGATTATAATTAAACAATGTAATAATAAAATTAAAACTTTCCTCACAATCTTTTTCTTCATTATCATCAGGATCATTATTTTGAGATTTCTCTGATTCATCTCCATCATTTTGGCTATCTTCGTTGCTATTGTTGATGTTAACGTCGTCGTCATCGTGTTCCATCTTCTCAGTTCTACAAAAAACAATTTGCTTTTGCGTCTGTCCTTGTGGTGAACATTTTCTTCTACACAGTGATTCCACAATACCCATCACATCAATTGGAAATGTAGTGGATAACTAAATTCACGTGCTAGCACATCAGCTTAATGCGATTTGTCTTTAAGTCTGTTCATTATGAACTTAATTCGAATTATTGAACATTTTAAAAAATTAATTTGATTCCTGAATGTAGGAGCACTGTATTGTATATAGTATATATATATATTCTTCTAAATTTAAAAAACTTAAACGAGGATGTAAAAATTGAAATAGAAAGCCTGTACAAATTAGACTTAAGCGTTACCTTACAATTTCAAATAATTCAATCTTTAAAATATAAGCAAGCGAGTGTGAGCCTGTGCATTGTTTTGCATTGTTCAGTCACACGAGACATTACACACATTTGCTCGATTTGGAATTATCAAAAAATCTTGTTTTTACCTATATTTTCACCATTGCACCGACCGAATATGCGATGTTTCTGAATGAAAGTTCAGTTATGAGACGATCATTACAGTAACGTTTCAAATAGGGCATCCACCCACATTCAAAATTACAGAAAATGGACAACACTCCATGAAAAAGTGAAACTTTTGAACAAAAAATGAGCCTTGGATAAAAATTTTATTACAAATTCAATTGATATGCGTACATATACATCTGTAATCAACTTTTATTATTAAGTTAAGAATATATTTTTTTAAGGGCTTTTTAATAATGTAAGCAAACATTAATAACAATTTTTTAATTATATTCAAACAAAGTCAAATTTGATTTTAAAACAATTCAGCACGAATTTTTCGCGCAAATCTTAGTAAGTCAAATTTTCGTTTAGGTATCTGACAGCTGGTAAAGAAGTTTCAGGAGAAGAGCTGCACAATTTCAAGAGACAATTTTAATCTTTAGTATTTTCGAAATCAAATTTTACGGACAAAAACATCTTATATCGAATGAATTATTCGGTAATCAGAAAATAAAATTCCGTTTACATTAATCATTTTAGATACAATAAAGAGAACTTTTAAAGAAAAGTTAAACGTAAAGATAATTTTTTTCTTTAAAAAGATGTTGCGGACAACCTAGTTTGAGTTAATTTTTGATTTAATTTCAATCAAATCGTCTGTTGTCATTCACGTCGCATCCGAATTTTTGAGCTGATTTCGTACAGGTAAATAAATAAACGATATGGAAATGGATAGATGACATTACTGAATGGACTGGTGTTGGTATTCTGAATTCCATAAAACTGGCCAAAGATGATAGAAAAGGTTTTTGGAAAGAAAAAAGGAAAATCTGAATGTAAAAAGCATGCTTAGATGTACACCATCGGCCTCGGCGGACCCCGTTGGACAAAGGAGGATCATTGATTGAAATAAACGATAATAACGAACGAAAAAAACGCGCTAGCATCAACGCCACCCCTTCAAGTAATACAAAACCAGCCACTCCGAGCGAACGTCGTAACCTCGTCTCGTCTATTTAATTTTATAGAAAATAAATTTTTTTTAGAAAGAATATAGCAAACCAAAGTCCACGGAAGACAACAACAACGACGAAACGTTATCTGCTAATACGACTGTTTCATTACAGGCTTGACAAAAACATAAATATAAAATAAGCCTTACATTATTTGTGGATGCATGTATTCAATTCAAACAATTAAATTGTGAAATAAATATTTATTTCACCACACGACATAAAAAAACAAGCAAAAGATACATAATTAAACAGAATTGAACTTATTTTTTTAACAGAAAACTGTTAAAAGACGTTACAGCTATAATGTCTTTTCAATTTGTAAGAAAAATAAGTAACTGAAGTTTGTTGATGAATAATACTTGTTGAAGAGTAGACAGACGCGTCTGATAGCAGATCGTAAAGTGTTTAATACTCCTCCTCCTCACCACCATCTCCGTTGGTTGAATCGATGCCAACCTCTTCATAGTCCTTCTCAAGGGCAGCCATGTCCTCACGAGCTTCAGAGAACTCTCCTTCTTCCATGCCCTCACCAACGTACCAATGGACGAACGCTCTCTTGGCGTACATCAAATCAAATTTGTGGTCAAGGCGAGCCCAGGCCTCTGCAACCGCAGTCGTGTTGCTCAACATGCAGACTGCCCTCTGCACCTTCGCCAGGTCTCCTCCGGGGATGCTTGTTGGTGGTTGGTAGTTGATTCCAACTTTGAATCCAGTTGGACACCAATCAACAAATTGAATTGTTCGTTTTGTTTTTATGGAGGCAATGGCGGCGTTAACATCCTTCGGCACAACGTCCCCTCTGTAAAGAAGACAACAAGCCATGTACTTTCCGTGACGTGGATCGCATTTGACCATCTGGTTGGAAGGTTCAAAGCAGGCGTTGGTTATCTCAGCTACTGTTAGCTGTTCGTGGTAGGCTTTCTCCGCCGAAATGACAGGAGCGTAAGTAGCCAGCGGGAAGTGGATACGAGGATATGGCACCAAATTTGTCTGAAATTCAGTCAGATCGACGTTCAGAGCTCCGTCAAATCTGAGGGAAGCCGTGATGGAGCTGACAACTTGAGCAATGAGACGATTCAAATTGGTGTACGTGGGTCTTTCGATGTCCAAGTTCCTCCTGCAGATGTCGTAGATGGCCTCGTTATCGACCATGAAGGCGCAGTCCGAATGCTCCAAAGTAGTGTGGGTGGTGAGGATGGAGTTGTAGGGCTCGACGACAGCCGTTGATATCTGCGGAGCGGGATACACGCTAAACTCCAACTTCGACTTTTTGCCATAATCCACGCTCAACCTACGGCGATATAAATGCGATTATTAAAATTATAACATTATATTATCATCAATTATAAAATTATTATTATAATTATTTACCTTAATTTTTAATAATATAATTATGATCGCGTTTTTCTAAAAACTCAACTATCTAATGAATATTTAACTGAAGCAATTGTTGGCAAAAATGGCAAACCTTTCCATAAGAAGAGAGGTAAATCCTGATCCAGTACCTCCTCCGAAACTGTGGAAGATGAGAAAGCCTTGAAGACCAGTACATTGGTCGGCCAACTTCCTGATCCTGTCAAGCACCAGGTCGATGATTTCCTTGCCGATCGTGTAGTGACCTCTGGCGTAGTTGTTGGCTGCATCCTCCTTGCCTGTTATCAGCTGCTCAGGATGGAACAACTGACGGTATTTGCCCCGACGCACTTCGTCTTAAGACAAAATTATCTTTTCGTTAGCGTTTTTATCTTCATTCGTTTCATTTTCTACAATGACAATAGTAATAGAGCAAGTTGTTTATAAAACACGTCAAGTAATTATTAACAAGTGATAGTAGTAGCAGCAGTGTCGTCAATCAGTAGATGCAATGATTGTACAGCTGGTAGCAAAGTTTTGAAAGAAAAAACAAGAATCTCACCGACAACGGTCGGTTCTAGATCAATGAAAACGGCTCTGGGCACGTGTTTGCCTGAACCAGTCTCTGCGAAGAAAGTGTTGAAGGAATCATCGGACTTTCCAACAGACTTGTCACTGGGCATCTGTCCATCGGGCTGGATGCCATGTTCCAGGCAGTACAACTCCCAACACGCATTTCCAATCTGCACACCAGCTTGTCCAACGTGTACGCTGATACATTCACGCTGTATTAATTGCGTAGTATTTGATCGTGTAACGTAACGCGCATACATTCTGCTTGAAAATGTGCAGTGGTTATGAGCGGCGTAAACTTATTTTTGTACATTTCATACATTTGTGGCATGCTTGCCTAATTTCATTGGAAGTATATTTCAATAAATGTAGATACCTACCATTAATAATATTTATGTGTCAATGGAAGAGAATACGTCTAACTGCGTGAGGCATTAATTTATGAAAAGCAAATGCGAGCTTATCGGCTAAAAACGCAACATCACAACGGAAATTTGAATTAAATTGAATTTTAAGCTATGAAAATTATTTTAGCTAACCATTTTTCTTGGTCCCTTTCTTCAAATTCAAAGTTATTATATGAAAAAAATTACTTCAAAGGACAGCGAGGAAACTTGAGGAGATATTTATTAAATTTTTTTATAAATTACTTGAGCCAGTGAGAAGTAAGAAGGCTTCAAAATTCCTCTCACTCAAACACGAAGAGTTTTAATGAGAAATAATTTTGAAAGTTGAGTAACGCAACGAGAACAGAAAGAACACGTGACACAAACACAAAACGCTGTTACTCACCGAACTCCAACAACCTTATATACTAGCCAATCCTGCGCATTCATTCGCTCTTATACATCACATACATTCATACGCATACAACTCAGAATAAGAACCATATATATATATATATATATATATGCGTATATATATGCGTATATATACATATATAAGTACATACATACATACAGACAAACAATTCATAGGCATGCAAATACATTCATAGGCACGAATTCACTATTGTATCAGTAATGCACACTCACGCACACACACGCACAAAACCATACATAAACAAACCAACCAATCAGCAATTTATTCATAGAAAGTTAAAAACACAGAACGATTACAGTTGTTTATAATTCAAGAGTCATGAAAGGACGACAAGAATGATATTACGTATGTGCAAGTGCATATCATTTCACCAGACTTTCACCTTTACATTAAATACACTCGGCACGTTAATTCTCTACACAACCAAACTCCTCTGCAGGTCCTTACAAATAGGAATTAACCACAGACCCTCGAGAAACAAAAAACGCGTGCGTACAGCAATTAGAGATGAGCGAATGAGTTGGTACGTGTGGTGTAGAGTAGATGTTGTACGTACGGGACATACGCCCCTAATTTGTCTGTCTCCTTCTCTTTTGAACGTCTCGAATGGCACGATTCATTCTTTTTTTGAAATTTAAGAAAACAAACAAAGAGGCGAAGTTGTGCTGAGAAAAAAACTTCAAAACATCCATAAATAATTCTACAATCACGCACACACACACACACACACACACACACACACACACACACACACACACACACACACACACACACATACACATAGATATATTGCAGACAGTAACTAATAAGTAGAGATGATGAATAACGAAGATGAGCGCATTATGAATCTGCGGAGTTGGCGCAGCTCAAACAGCTTCACATTAACATAATTTATTACATTTCTCATCCTCCTTCTCCTCCCCACCATCATCCACATCTCCATCTTCTTCACCATCTTGACCTAAAATACTTTTGAAAAGTTTCATTGCGATGGCTGGCTTCATATTTTTTTATGCTGTTTTTTTTAGTACTTCTACCACTACCTGCTACTACTGCTACTGCTGCTCTACTACTACTACTCCTACTACTGTTACTACTACTATTACTACTACTCTACTACTACTACTAATCTACTACTACTACTACTACTACTACTACTACTACTACTACTACTACTACTACTACTACTACTACTACTACTACTACTACTAACAATAATAATAACACGATAATTATTATTATTCCTATAATATTATATTAATGTTATTTAAAAGGATGTAGTTACTCGTATTTAAAGCATTTTATCAATTTGCTACCGTCAAAATTTAACTTAGTTGCTGAAGTTTTTGTTGATGGTGTTGTTAACATGCGTTGTAGATATCGTATTGTCGGTGCTGTGTTGTTGTATATTCTTCATGTCATAATGTTGTTGTTGTTGTTGTTTGTTGTTGTTTGTTGTTGTTGTTGTATTACCATCGTATGTGAACACATCGCATCATTTTGTTACTTGTCTGAAAGAGAAATGTTGCTTCTTGATGAAAAGCAACAACTGCAATGGAACAATAAAGAACAGACAGACACACAGACAGACAGACAGACGGATGGAGATATTAAAAAATCATAAAACTAAAACACACACACACACACACAAACTTGCATACACATACACACAAACACACACCAACTTATGTAGGTATGTGTGTATGTTTGTGATGAATGTGTGATGTATGTATGCGATGATGAGTGTGTGTGTGAGATTCGCGATAAGATTGAATATTTCTTCAATCGCGCGCAATTACGGGTGCCTACATTTTGAAACGTACACACACACACACACACACACACACACACAAACACACACACACACATGCATGCATGCACACACACATGTATGAACACGTACATAAACATTTACGAAAAATTATAATACGGATGATTCGTCTGTTGTACACCGAGTAAATATTATTTTTCTAATACGGGTTTTCAGTAAACATTTTACAACATTTATAATTAAATGTGTTCTATTTGTCTTAGTGTTAACAATAATGTAAAATATTTTGAAGGTGTTGTAAAATATTTTCAAGATGTTGTGAAATATCTGGGAGATGTTTAAAAATTTCTTGGATAAGTTGTAATATTTCTCCTATGGCCTGTAACATCAGTAGAATAGATTTAGGAGCAATTATTTTCGGTAAGCAAATAAAACATACAAACAAAATGTGTAAATACATACATGTATTTCAATAAGCTCCAAACATGTGTGTTTGTACGTTTCTGTGTACGTGTATGCATGGATGTATGTATGCATGTATGTACGTACGTGTGCATGTATGTATTCATGTATGTATGTATATATGTATGTTTAATTGCATGCATGCATACAAATCATGTATGTATGTATATATGTATGTATGCATGTAAGTAAGATGTATGTATGTATGTATGTATGTATGTATGTATGTATGTATGTATGTATGTATGTAAGTAAGTATGTATGTATAAACAGAACATCTATGTAAATGTTTGTTGTCGGTGTATTAGAAAAAACTCGCTCATACTCTCAAACAGTAATAAATCATCACTTTCATCCATGAGTCACTCACTATCATCATCATCCTCATCATCATCATCACCACTACCATCTGGTATACATACATACATGCATACATACATAT